AAATAATGATATCATTTTACTATACAACCATCAGATAAATAAATGATGACACGTGGCTTTGAGACGATCGACTTCTTATCGATGGCCATGCTAAATAGATATCCAATGACACCGTCCACTCGAAAAATAAAGGCTTTGAAACTATATATAGACTTAATTTGATTTGATGAGAAAACTAAATAATATGTACCTAAATATGTAGTTATGCGATGACGCCATTGACACTATTTTAAACGACAAAAATATTATATCGATCCCCATAGCCAATCACTATGTTTAGTTTTTTGTACCAGATCAAATCTCAGTTCAACTAATTTGAATGTTTGTTTTAAATGTGATTTCTATAAATATTTATTTATTGCTTGTTTCTGTTGTTTAATTTATCATTTATGTCAATTTTGTATTGCTAATATTATGCTCAAAATCCCTTTGTTTAAATTCCAATTGCCAATCGATATATTGTAGTTAATAAAATAAAAATAAAAACATAGGTATATATTATCATAAAATATTTTTATAATTATGTGTCGATCATACACCGCACAGGTGGTCTTGGACTCTACCTACGAGTTCCTGAGGTACGGTGAAAACGTACAGCTCTTGTGCCCGGATATCCGTTTCCCTGGCTGGCGCGAAGGTACCGGTGGCGTGGCCCTATCGTGTTCGACCAGTGACCATCACTCGGAACTGGACGGGCTGGGACCTGGCTGTACAATGACCGCTTCTCCGTTGACCGAGAGCTGTGTGCGAAACTGCTTCAAGATTTGCGAGTAAGTCGAATCGATAGCTATGATGTTGTAGACTATTTAGTCATAGAAGTCCTATGTGGAGGTACCTACCTATAATTTTTTTTCAGTGTATATTGATGAAATCACCGTAAAGTTATTATTATTGTAAGTTATATTTATAATAATTCAGAAAATGCTCGTTCAATTAATTTCTATGTGAGTAATATTATACGCAACACATCAACAGTTAAAAAAGTCAGATAAAAAATCAACTCTATGGGAATTTATAATTAAAATGTTTGGTGAGTCATATGACGAGTGTCACACCTATAAAGATGTAAACCCGTCTAATCCAATACACACGAGCCCTACACGTCTTAGCCTCTTAGGTCAAACAGTTACTGTATATATAATTAAACGAGTTATACTGACTACGATGACGAGATAGTGATGCGGTGAAATTGTGTACAAAGTAAATTTTTTCCGTTTTGCCGATTGGTTTATCTAGCCTATAG